AAAACTGCCGCTATTTGGGCGCAATTTTTCAAACGATCCAATAGTCAGGATTACGGATAAATAGTCCTAAATTGTAAGTCGGAAAAACGTTCGTGACACTGCTTGGTCACAAGCTGGGTCCCGGGTGAGCTGAAGCACTGCCGGAGAAAATATTAACAATTCGAGACACTCTCCAGTTCAGATCTCGAAGCGCATACTTGCGGCATTTTCTGGCCGCACCGTATACTACAGTAAATTCGTCAGTAATTTTAATAGTTTGGCGTCATTTGAAATAATTTGGAACACTGGTAGCCCGGCTTGGTTGCTCACCTGTTGATCGTTTTTCCGAGCTTTGTAAAGGGATCGCATACGTTTCACCACCTTGCGAGGTGGCACATTCAGTGCGGCGATAGGCAGTGTATAATGCTGCTTATTGAATTGTCAGTCCGTCATCCACGGGCAGGTGACTTTTAAAGGTGGCACTTTCGATTTGCGCCACGTGATCTCTGCCCATTTGCTTCCACGGCTGAACCCCGTCTTGCGATTCACCGGAGATTATTCTTTCTGAGTTGATGGTACACGGGGTCGATGTCGATCCGCATGTTGATCGAATTAGTAGAGGAGTACCATGCTTCTAGGAACTCTCATCCTTTCTGTGTTGTTGTTTGAGCTAAAATCACCGTTTTGTTCCAATTGAAGATATGTCTCTCCCCATCCACATGCGCCGAGACAAGAGATGATGCATAATGTTTTCTGCATGCCCTCTGATGTTGTTGTGGACAATTTCCCTCCTGTCTGCCCCAAATAGTTCATTTCACAATTATTGCAATTTATTTTATGCACAACGTCTATTCTTTATTATGCATTCCTAATGTCCTTTGGGTTTGATAGTACTCTTCTCAAAGTAGCGGTTGGCTTATGAGCGACTACGATGCTATGTTGTTTGAGCAATCTGGCAGTCATTTCAGAAATGTTCTCCATATACGGCAGGAGGATCGTTTTGCCGTATATGAAGAACATTTCTGAAATGACTGCCAGATTGCTCAAACAACACAGCATCGTAGTCGCTCATAAGCCAACCGCTACTTTGAGAAGAATATTATCAAACCCAAAGGCCATTAGGAATGCACAAGAAAGAACAAAAGTCGTGTTTAGAATAAATTGCAATAATTGTGAAATGAACTATTTGGGGCAAACAGGAAGGAAATTGTCCACAACAACATCAGAGGGCTTACAGAAAACATTATGCATAGTCTCTTGTCTCAGCGCAAACCGAAATTGCCACCTTCAAAAGTCACCTGCCCGTGGATGACGGACTGACGATTGAATAAGCAGCATTATGCACTGCCTATTACGCACTGAAGTTTGGCGTCATCTTTGTACGACCTTTGAAGAGAGGGGAAGCAATTCACGTGAACGCCAGAAGCTGAGCGAGCTTTTGACGGCATCCAGAAAGAAATGGGGAGGCAGGATCTAACGTTGAAATTGCCGATCGCCTGAGAAACGTTCACGGGGACCACAGACGCAAGTGAAATCGGAATCGGTGCGGTATTGAAGCAAAAACAGAGGAATCTTGAATACACTAGCAGAATTCTAACGCCATCGGAACGCAATTATTCAACAATAGAGAAAGAGTGTCTAGCAATTATGTGGGGTGCTGGACAAGTAGCGAGCGTATTTACTGGGTCAACGCCTTTACATCGAAAAGTTCATAAACCGTTGGAGTGAATTAGGTCGTCCAAAGACCCCAGAGGCAAGTTGGCTAGGTGGGTGCTGCGCTTACAACAATACAACTTCACGATAAGCCACATACAAGGGACGGACAATGGAACGGCGTACTTTTATCGCGCCTGACGAGTGACGACGCTTTGCCGAACGTCGCCTTCGGTGTCAGTGGTTTGGTGCTGGAACAGGATGTGGGGAGATTGGCAGCTGAGCAACGAAAGGATAGGAGCTCCTGAGGAAGCTGATAACCTCACGAATAATGAATCAAACTATGACAACCGAAAGCTAAGGTAAACCATTCGAGCCGTTCGCGCAGAACCTAGGAAAACTGCAAGTCAACGAAGCTGGCAATGTGATATGGGCACAAGCGCGAGGCGCTATCCCTGTGCCCGTGATCCCACCAAACTAACGTAAAATGTTGGTGCTCTCTTGTCACGAGATGGCGCATACCAGATGCACCGGAACATATGCTTTGCTTAGGCAACATGCTTACTGGCTGGGCATGAAGACAGACGTCGACACCTACGTGCTGTCTTGTGACCAGTGACAGTTCTTGAAGGGAGACAATCAAAGAATACCACAAGCTATGCTCGCGATTCCAGTGTCCGAGAATGACGAGTTGTGGTCAGTCGACGTGATGCGGCCATTCCCGTTAAAGAGACGGGGCAATCAATCCATAACCGTGATGACCGAGCACTTCACCCGCTGGATTAAAGCCGCGGCAATTCCGCATCAGCGGGCTAGCACTACAACACATGCGGTGATAATGCACGTGATAGCAGGCCACGGAATTCCGAAGGCTATACGGACGGATCAGGGCCCATGCTTTGAAAGTGACGAGTTCCGGACATGGCCGGAAAAACTGGGCATCAAGAAGATACGAATCAGTCCTTACCATCCCCAGACAAATGGATTGACGGAGAGGAATAATAGGACAATTAAGGAATGCCTGACGGCGAAAGGGGGAGATTGGGAAGTAGCTCTACCACTAATCTTGTTAGCTCACCGGGAGTCCAAACAAGCAAGAACGAGGCAATCCCCATTTCACTTAGTGTACGGCCGCGCTTGGTGTAAATTAACGATTTGGCGAAATCAATTGCTTCCGATTTCCTATTGTTCGCTGATGATATCAAGATATGGCGAATGATCAGAGCACCGGACGACCACGAACGACTTCAGTGCGATTTTAACACGCTGTCGAATTGGTCAGTTCAAAACGCCCTACCATTCAACCTAGACAAATGTCGCATTGTGCAATTACGCCATAGACATGACTACACGTATTTGCTTGAGGTACACGGATTGCAGATCAGCTCCCAGGAATGTGATCTTGGTGTGCTCGTACACAGCGACCTCAACCGTTCAAACAGGCTGAGGTAGTTTCGAAAAGAGGCAGCCAGCACATCGGCATGCTGCAAACGGCATTCGGCAGATTTTACCCACCATTCTTCCCAATGATGCTCAATTCCTATATATGTCCGCATGTTGTATGCGCTATCCAAGCTTGGTAACCTTGGTTGAAGCGCGACCTAGAGGCGTTAGAGACACCTCAACGAAGAGCCACAAAGAATGTAAAGGGTCTGCGCTATCACTCTTACCACCGAAGGCTGAAGTTGCTGGGAATTTTCAACGGACGCTGTCGAAGGCTGCGCGGTGATTTCATATTAGCGTACCAAATATTGAGTGACCCCAATCATGCATGTCGCCATTTACTGCAGCTTAGCCACAACACGCAGCTCAGGGGTAATTGTTTAAAATTGAAGGAACAATCTAGCCGTCTAGAGTGTCAACGGAATTATTTTTCTCTTCGGGTTTGCCAAGCCTGGAACGCACTCCCAGACTCAGTTGTATTCTCTCCTACCTTAAACGTTTTCAAAAAACGATCAGATGTTGCTCTTAGCTCCCAGCAGTTTGTCACTTAAAATCCTCTATTGTGGATTACGCCAAGCATATTTTTCAACAGGATTTATGTATCAAATGGACCCAAGTGAGCAACCATAGTTTACTTTTCTCACGCCTTATATCAACGATCACTGTACCCCAGTGTATTTCTGAAGTTTTACGCTCGAGTTTTTAATTTTGCGTTGAGGTTATTTATCAAAGTATTCATCTTGGCAAACGTTTGGTAGATGACCCACATGTATTTTGATTTCGCCGTATTCACCCCGACCATCCTACGGGCGGTGTCAAGCACTTGCTTTTATCCCGTGAGAAATCATTGTTCATTGTTCATTCCGGGCTTAACCTTTCTTTCGCCATTCACAAATCAGTATAGTAGTTTGGTGTTACTCGTAAATTTCAGCAACATGTTCTCCTGCTATTCGTACTTATCGACTCTAATGAGCGACGTGCAGTAGTTTCTGATGACTTTGTAATCCTGCCATGTGATATCACATGGGCTTAGCAAATGTTGCCTCCAGATTTCATCTCTTCTGTTGATCCATTTACGCGTTCTGCTCCGGATCCACGTATTGGTCCGGCGCCATGCTCGTAATGGTACAACCTTCGATGCTGATTGTATGACCCAGTTAATTGTGTCTTTCAATTCATTCCACGCGTCATTCACTGAGCTGTGCGTCTGTAGATCCCAGTCGACGGTCGCTGCTAAGTTTTGCAGTGTTAAATAGTCCGTAATAGTTCGTTGAATCGCTCTTTCTTTAGCAACAATGCTGGCATAACATACATAACCAAATGTTAGGGCTGAATGGTCGCTACGACCCAGTGCAGGATCGTATGCTACTGACTCAACCGTCAACTCTTCATTAGTCAGGATTAAATCCAGGTGCGATGGCTTGTTTGTACCGCGGTATCTGCTTGATCGATGCACATGTTTATACAAAAGTGTCATATCCATGAATTCGAGGAGTTTCGATTTAAATGGTGGCCCATTAGGGGATATTGATGCTATTGAAGGAAAATTAAAGTCACCCATTATAAGATAGTGAGAGTAATTTTGTAAAACATCAAAGCGGACGGTGTTTAATGGAATGTTATCGCTGTCTGCTGATGAGTTCGGAGGCCTATAGATCACTGCTTAAAGGCAAGCATCACTCGTCTTCTGTGAAACAACATCTCGAACTGCTAGGTGCAGTCGGCAAAATAGGGGGCGGGAATAACAAGAGAATTTTTGTTAAGAGCCTCACATTTCAAATAATCTCGATAGTAGAGAGCAACACCGCCACCGCGATGGACGATCATTTCGAATGACTGACATCTCATTGAATTCAGTCTCTGGATTAAGTATGTCGTTTGAAAGCCAAGTTTCAGTAACTGCTATGCGGTCCCAAGTTGTTGTTTCATGTCGATGGCGCAGTTCCTAGAGCTTGGAATACAACTGAGTATTGGTTTAGCAGCATTGTATTTGTTGGCGCATCAGGAGCTCGGTTCGATGTGGGTGACCGACACAAATAGTGCCGATCTGCTGAAGATTTTTGAACGGTTGTTTGTGTGCTTGGCTGGTTTGAGATAAGTACAATTGAGGCTGGCTCATCTGTAGTTGAGTTCTGTACTAATTGAAGGAATGGTCTTAACCGTACTTCTGGTGACCCAAGTTTCCTGTTGTCATGCCATGCTTCCGGCGCAGCCAAGGTGACTTTCAAAATTCGTGGTTCGCTACCTAGGTATTTGGTGGAGGCAATTAGACTGGTGACGTCAAAAGCTACGACATTCTGCATGTCGTAGAGCTCTGCGATGTACCTCCATTCTTCGATGTCGTGCTTCTGTCGTTTACTGCTATCGTCATGCTTCAATTCTGGCACACCATTAACCGGTACAGCTTTCTTTATCCCATGTTGACATGAGGAACTAGGGTTGGATTTCCGCTTCTCTCTTTCTGCCCATGGCCTCTCAGGAAAAATGCGGGCACTGACAGAAGAGTTCACTAGAATGTGGCTTAAAGAGAACATCTTCTAAGTCGCGCGTGTTGCCAAACGTTACTCGCAGTAACCGAGGTTCCCTACGTGTGGAAATGATGGATATCGTGAAAGATGTGTAAGACTAGTTGGAAGAAATTTCAGTCCGAGTGCGCAGGTTATTACAGTTTAGCGGTTTTGTTCCTCGGCTTGTCTACCTTTTAGCGATTCGCCAGTGGGTTCTGGGACGTTTGAACATATTACTGCCATGTGAATATAGAGCTCAGGCTAGTTAGATCGAGGTAATTGGCGTGTCTCCTACTACATATTGCCACATTGTCAGATGACTACAGATAGCTGTATCTGATCAGGAAGAAATTAGAGCGGACGTTCGTTTTAATCTTCGGTATTTTCAATGTATAATCTTCGTTGCGAAACGCTCGAATTGAACAATGTTGTAAATTGAGTGTAGGCAGGTTGGAATAGGTCTTTTTGTGTATCATGTTGAAAAGCAGCAACAAATTGTGCTTCAATCGTCGAATTCAATGTGGTTCGAGATGAAGTTCATTGCAACTTTCTCGATAGCTCATAGCAGAGTGTTTACCAATCAGATGTTTAGTAAATGACCTCTGCAGGTTCTCCACAACAATTCTGTCACTCTTTCTCATATTTCCGTACATTAGGCTGCAGTATTCGAGGATGGGATGAGTGAGTAGCTTGTAAAGCTCAACCCTAGTACGATTTGTGTGCTTTTTGTTTGTTATATTAAACATAGACTGTCTGGCACGTGCCACCTGGTATTGGGCCTGTTCGCATAAGTTGAAAGTAGAGGAGTACCAGATGCTAAGATCTCGCGTGGACAACTGTGTAAGGACGCGTTCATTGTTTCGGGTGATAGATCCTTCGGGGATGCAGCAGCCGTAGGACGTGATGCTTGATTTTTTAGCCTAGAGGTTCATCACCCATGTGCAGCACCATGACTCAAGGGAATGTAAATCATCTTGAGTGAGCAGTAATGTCCCGTGAAGCTCGTCACGCCGAAAAGTATAGACTAGTTTGATATCGACAGCACATAAAAATGATGTACCATGTTTCACAGATGTGATGATGTCATTGATGTAGAGCAAAAATAGTAAGGGGCCGAGTACGCTCCCTTGAATGACTCTACTGGTGATTGAGCGTGGAGAAGAGCGATAATCACCTAACGTGACTACTTGATGACGATCACTCAGATATGACGATAGCCAACCTAGTAATGGGTCCCGGATCCCAAAGTTCCCCAACTTTTGTATCGGTCGCTTGTGCGGTACTCGGTCGAACGCTTGGTGTAGGTCAAGAAACAAGATTACTACTGCATAGCCGGAATCGATTGATTCTGAAATGTGATTAAAGTAATACAGTTGACAGGTGGTGCACGATCGCTTATTGAGAAAACCATGCTGCGAATTGTCACTCAGGCTAATAAAAATCAACAGCGTTCATAATCTCCATTCTGACCAGCTTTTCAAATAGCCGAGCGACTATCGGAGTGTGGTCGATTGGTCGGTAGTAATCAATCGTTCGTTTGGGACCGTTTTTATGCCGAGGCATAATAAATGACAGTTCCGTTGGTCTGGAAAGTGGCCAGATTCCAACGATAGAGTAAACATGCTCATCAGTTTCAATAGTATATCAGCTCCTCCTAATTTAATGGTGGTTGGTGAAATGTCATCAGATTCCAGCCTGGAAGATGGCCTGATTAATTTGATAACTTGATGGATAGCGTTGTGGGAGATATCGATTCTGTTGGTTGATACGGTATTCAAGTAGACGGAATTTAGATCGTTGTCTGGGTCTTCCGGAACATTTTTCTCCGTAAGCGGCAGCTTGGTATGACGCCTCGATTGAGTAAGACTAATCAGTGCGGCGGGTTCCGATCTGCACACGCGGGGTAGGTGGCCTATTTTACCACCTTTCGGCAGATACTTTCTTTGTGGTGACATTCAGAAACACGATCATGTTGCATCCCGCAACAATATCACACGAACTGTTTTCGAGCTTAACCTGGAGTCCGTGGTTTAGCAACTGCGTGAACAGTATTGACGACTGGATGGGAAGTGAATTCACGTAGCTGGTGTGAGATATTCTCCCTTCGTCGAGCGATTTGACAAGCATGCTCCTACGTGGTATCTGACTCGTTCAGAGATAACAATTTTTCCTGTGCGCTTTCGTCCAGAATCCCGCAACTGAGCACTGTATTTTCATTTCTTCTTTAACTTTCTCAGACGGAATGTCATTGTATTTACACTCGGGAATAAACTGATAGATGTGTGTTATGAAATCGTTGATGCTGTCATTCGATTTCTGTACAAACTTTGAAAAGCAGTATCTCTCAGTATAAACATTCTGTTTCAATCCCCACAATGTGGTATATTTATCCAAATCCGATGTAGTAGTGTCACAATTTCTACATGTAGTGCACCATAATATCGCTGGCTTTCATATCCCAGCACTTGTCTGAATAGTCGTATTTTTGGGACTCCGAAAGTGAAATCATAGTATTCAAAACAGGCAGTAATTTCAGGTATTTAATAAATGATTTCCTCCACCTCTTCCAGTTTAGCAGGATAGGTTTGTCCTCAGTGGAAGACCAAAATTTAGCAGGTGGATTAATGATAGGGTTCATCTGGATTCCGTCGCCAATAATACGTAGCAAGGAATTAAAGCAAAGCACGCCCCAGACCGCAGTTAAGCGAGAAAAGGCACAGTAGGACACAAAGTGTATCGGGCGAAGCGGCACGATGTGGCTCATATGACACACAAGTTAAAGCATGAGTGAGGAGCTATTGATTGGTCAATGCGAGGAAAACCAATAAGAACGTGGTGTGGCTGAACTAACTAATCAATATCATTGACGGATGTAACACTCACCTGTGATAGTTCCCGGACTCTTAAACGGGCAATTCAAAGCCAGCAACTGGTCGCTGAAGCATCTTGATCGATGCAGTGGAATTTCTATGTTAGTGCTTATTGACATCATTGTGTCCACTCATGTTCGCTCCTGCGAAAAAATGGCTTCCAAGAAATTCACTGACGCCAGTCACGCTCCATTGTGCATTGTCGGAATTTATCTCAACTTCTTCGTCTAGACAAACGTAGAACCCATTCCCGCCCACACAAGGTTACAGTACTTCAGTTGTTCCCTATTTGTCACGTTTTCTGTAGGATCAAGATGTATTCAAGCAAGACCTTATTGCGTGACTGAATCGATGATATAATCACTGCTACATTTTGGAATTTGGCGGACCACCACATACATTTGTCATGCTTTTATCTGATTTTATTTGTGCCCTTAACGTGTGTGTTATAGCTAAATATTCACTCTTCATGGGTGCAAAAAGCGCATTGTTGACTTGACTGACTTGACTTGAAAGACAGGAGCCGCACGGCCACTAGTTGTCATCACTTCGTTAGAACATGCCACCTCAATAGGGTATTTGCTTCCACAATCCTGCAGAGTGGTGGACACAATAACACTCGCGACAACTGATAGGACAGGAAAGACACGAGAGAACATCTTGATCTGGGATGCTCCGTGCTACCATGCAACCTGCCTGCAATTCATGAACAAATTACCCACACAAAAAACGATTAGCGGCCGACCGACGAACGGTTGGCTTAAAACTAAACACAATTTGTTGTCCACCCACTCACTTCTAACCTCAAAAACACTATAATGTTTGTATACTATCGCTCAATGTCTTCCTAGTAAGTTGGCTGAACTTAGAGAACGTCAGGCGTCAACCGCGGGATCTCATAATGATTACGGAGACCTGGTTAAGTTTTGAGATAGCAATCTCTGAGCTCAATTTACCTGGTATGCCGCTGCTTCGGAATGACAGAGCTGGAAGTGGTGTCGGCATAATTCTGTATTACAAGGTTAACCTGCGATATGACCGCCCAGAGATCCGTGCCCCAGATTCATTGTGGTGCCGGCTATAGTGGCGGAACATAGAAACATGTCTTATAGCTATACTTTACCGTCCACCAAACTCTACGTGTGAAATGAACTCCAAACTAAACCCCTTCCTCAGGTTGCTTTGAGCAAGACATATGGTCACATTCCCATCACAGCCAACTTCAGTGTGCACGAGCTGGAAATAGTGGTGACCGATAGCATGCAGTTCAAAGCCTATTTACAAGAGGTCATTTACAGCTCACCCCTGTACAACTAGGTGACCTATTCCGCCAGATTTCGAACAGCTAACAGGCCATCGATATTTGATCTTGTGCTCATCAACGAAGAACTCATGGTCGGCGAAATAGTTGCAAGCACACCACGGGGTCACAGTGGCCATGTGTCTCTGCTGATTAACTGCGTATGTTATACGGAATCGCTTGAGGAAGAGGATGATAAACTGCATACGGTCACACACTGCAACACGTTATTCGCGCTTGTTAAAGAGGTATCTTGGATTTTCTTAACTGAATGCCCCCCAGAAATTGTCTGGACACTTTCACATGGGCGTTCAGGACACTGAGAGTGCACGCGTCTGGGCAGAAATTCTTCTATCGGCAAAGGAGAAGGAAGTCATTTCTGAGGAGCGGAACATGTACATGCATGTCCTTGAGGAACTTAGCCTGGAGAGTGTGATGGTCATTGAAACAGGGGATGAGGGCAATCGTCTGCCTCAGTGCGGTCGATCAGGCGATCAACCGAGTGAACGAGTAAGTTTTTAAACACCCAGCTAATTGTACAGAACCTCAGAATTGTGAATAGAACGCTAGTGTGCTGAGCCGGTGTGTCTTGTTTCTCTTGACGCGGCTGGGAGACTCAGGCACGCAATATGTTGACAGAGGAAAGGTAACTGACGCGCCCGACTCCATAGCTTTTGGTGGACAGCCGTCGATTCCACTGCCGAATGCTCTAGGGATGGCGGAAAATACGCAACCTGATAACTGGAAAGCGTGGAAAACGAATTGGATGGAATTCGCAGCGTTGATCTAGTTGGATGAATATCCGAAGTCATACCAGATGGCAATGTTCCGATACGCTGTCGGCCAGGAAGCGTGTC